TTGCAGGCCCCGAGTGTCCTTGGGGTTGCTGGAAAGCAGAACGTGTTCTTAAGCCCCAGAACTCTGCAAGAGGGCTGTCTCTTTAAATATCCAAAATAGTCAAGCTGCTTTTTAAACCTTCATAATGGCGGTGCCCTCCAGACCAGCAAAAGTCCACACAACTCAGCCCACCTTTCTCTTCACCTTCTCTGTTTGTTCCCCAGCCACCATGCACGGTCCGTGCAGTCCCTGGCTAGCAGGGTGATTTTTAGGTTAATTTTTAGGTCCTACCACCACTCGGGATTGTCCAAACCATTTATGCCATCAGGGGCGTTCAGGTCCCTGCTAGACCGCAGCTCCGTATGTCTCCTTTTTTGGTATTTTGATGGAAATTCTTCTGCTAGTTGGGGTTTAGTCTACTTCTGTATCCTTCCTTTCAAGGCTCAGTGGTCCAAGATTATCTTCTGTGTCTGTGTCAATTGGTTTCCCTTTTCTTTGTTGAAGAGGATCTGTGCAGTCCTTCTGCCTAGTCCGCCATTTTGCCGGAACTCCCCAATGAAGGTTTGCTATGAGTCAGATCCGACTTGATGGCAGTGAGTTTGAGTTTGTTTTTTTGGTTTTGGACCCAGCCATCTGGTGGAAGTTAAAAAGACTAGGGCTAGAAGGATCATGTTAAGTAATTCACTACATTATATTCACCATTTACCCACTTTTGCTATTATTTGGCTAAAAAACTTTGAGAAATTGTCTGGTCAGTTATTTCTTCCCACTTATTTGAAATCTATGGTGTTCTCCCATGTTTTGTAGACTGATGCATGCATGTATTAAAGAACTTAAAATTTTTTAAAAATAAAAGATGATGTAATCCTTAAAAATTTTCATTAATCTGTAATTATCCAGCAAACCATAGCTAAAATGTTATGATCTTGTAGGTCAAGATTTTCTACTTAATATATGAAGCAAATAATGTCAAAATGGCAATTTTGAGTTTCACTATTAAAAATCAGATTTTTTTTAAAAAAAATCAAGACTTGTATGTGCAAATGTTAGTTATTTTGAGAAGATATACCTTTATCATTGCTCAAAAGTATTTAAAAAATCACATTCTTTAGGAACAGGATATAAATCTAGTCTATTAAGCCACACACACACAGTCTAATTACTTTATAGGCATTTTTCAAACCACTACTCAGCAAGATCCAGCTGCAAATGGCTTCTAAAAAATATTTTTACCCTCAAAGAATACCAATGAGAATATTTAAAACATCCTTTTAAAGTGCAAGAGATAAACACAAAAACATTTAAAAATTCTTTGGAAATCACAGCAGCTCTGCTGAATGTAAGCTATTGCTCCTCTACTGCCCAGCAATTCTGAACCTTTTTTAAGATACACATTTTACTTTAAACTCATTTTAAGCAAATGGACTCTCTCATTCAACAAAACACCAAACCACCTCCCAAAGGTTTTGAGCACACAAAATTTTAGAAGAAGAATCCCTATGGGAAAAGGGTCAAAAGTAAAAAAACCCGCAGGATCATTCACTTTCACCTCTTCATGTGTTGACACAGGTTTGAGCACACTGTCTTTTACTGGATCATTACACAAACATCTCAAAATTTTTAGCTTGGGCTCAATTTGGAGCAGCACACATTAGGAATAAACAAACCATAGGGGGATGTGGTATAAATACGGGAAAGGCTTCTAGAAATACTCTCCTTCTGGAGCTTATTCCTGCTCAAAACAGTTTTACTTTGCCCTTTGAGAAATCAAGAGATGCTCATATCCTCCTGCTAGCAGAAGGAGCAATTTTTTTTTCCCCCCTCAGAGGCTAAATTTAAACAAGAGATAGATAATTTCAGGCCTGAGCAAGATTATGTGAATAATGTTCCTAGCCCAAAAAGCTTCATCCCTTTCAGATATTGCAAAAGAATATTTGTAGATTATCTCAGTGTATTTATGTAATCCATGTAAGAAAAATTAACAGTGGGGTTAGAAAATAGAAAAAAAAATAAGAACAGAACAGAAAATGCATGGAGGAGGGAACAGTGGATAAAGGGGATAGATGATGTAAGGCCTCAGAAGCACAAACATAAAAGCAGTTTCTTCATACCTTGCACCATTTAAAGCCCAAATGACTGGTGTCATGCAAGATTTCACTGAACAGCTTCAGATACGCAGTGAGTACCAGAATGATGGAAAACAAGATCAGCAGGAAAGAGAGAAGGAAAAAAAGCATGCAATTAAAAAGCAAATTATAACTAGTTCATGCAGCAATTGCTTAAAAAAGAAAAACACATAACAGCAATCTATATACCATAAAGACATGATCTAGTTTTAATGGCCAAATCCCTGCAAGATCTCTGATATACAAGACTGGTCTCTAAATAATGAGACCAAAGCAGAAGGAAATCTTTACAGAAAGAAAAAAAGGGGGGGGGGCGATATTTTGCAAATAAAGGAAAGAATGCAGAAAGCAAGAAATCAAGATAAAAGATAATCCCTCCCCATCCTGGAACAATGGATGTAGCCCTCACCTCTCTGAAGTTCTCCCCTATCTAAACACTATTTAATTGTGCATAAAGAAGGTATTCAATGGAAAAAGATGAATTCTCCCTCAGTTTTGCTAATAAATGTCAGTTTGTCTGTCTTTTATACTTGACTATTTGTATCTAACACGGCTAGGAAGGGAATCCTGTGGTACATACTATCATTTGTCTGACCTGAACATGTATGTTCTCTCTTACTATTCAACCACCTTGACTGACCATCATACCACCTGTGGTCTGACCTAGTGGGCTCCCAGAAAGATTCTGTTACTTGCTCATTGCACTTCTTTACCAGCTAAGTATTTTGAGTTTTCCAATGAAGAAATGGAAATAACACAATCACTGCAAAAATTAAATCTCATGAACCTCTTTGTGAGGTAAATTGAAAACCTCAAATCATGCTCTTTTAATGGGAATTGAGATGAGAGCCTTCACTTGGTGTAAAACTATTTTTTCCCCACTCTCATCTCCTACCTTAAGTTAATGTGCCTTCATAAAAGTTTTTTGAAAACATTCTCTCACAAAACATCTATTTCCAATCAAGTGTATCTAAAAAGATGTAGGAAATACATAAAATAATATATCACAAACAGCAGTAATTCTTGAACACTTTAACAAATCGCCTCAAGGCAACAACATGCTGTCCTGGGACTCTGCAGTGTCATGATAGCTATATCCTTCATCCTTGCTATTGAGCCTAACTTCTTATAAACCTTAACTGGTTTTTTGAACAAGGTAGAGTATAAGATAAATAAGTAAACTATTTCCTATTCAAAATGAACAACTTCGAGCCAGGAATGTGTGTGTTTTCTCATTCAATTTAAAAGCAGGACTGTGCATTATAACAAACAGACAACTTCCATGTCATCTCATCAGATATGTGAGTACATACTATATTGTTGGTATTTGCCGTTGAGTCGGCCCCGACGCATAGAGACCCCTCCTTGGGTTTCCGAGGCAGTATCACTACGGAAGTAGGATTGCCCAACCTTCCTTCCGAGGAGTGGCTGGTGGATTTGAACCGCCAGCCTTCTGGTTAGCAGTCAAGTGCCTTAGGCATTATGCTACCAGAGCTCCCAACATACTATATAAGTATATATAAAACCAGCCCTAAATTATTAACGCAGAGACATTCTGAAACATGAGTCAATTCTTGTACAACTATACTACTATTTTTACTCAAGTCTAAATACTTACCCTTGATGAAATGCCTCTGAAATCCTATAAATATGTAATATGTATAGTTTGCCTAAACTATACTAGTTCAGTTTTACCTTTTATTTACCAAGCAGAATCGCCAGTTACTATATAAAATCGCAGACCTGTTTTTCAGCATTGGTCCTGGCTGATTCCTCTTGTGCTAGCACCATTTCCCGCTCTGCAGTTATCTGTACACTTTCTCTTAGTGCTTCTTCCAGCTCTTCAATCCTGTCATCCTTCTTACGGAGACTGTCCTGGAAAACGATGGAAGACTAGGTGAAGTAGACTAATTAGTTAAGCCAAAGAGAGCCTATTTATCAAGAAAGGGCTATTTACTTATTTAAATATTCTTTCTTTCAGAAGTAAATAAAGGTCAAAAAGATATGTTCATAGAGGAAAGAATAAAACAAGAGAAGAGAAGAAATACAGGAGACTGAAGAAGTGTATTATTAAGAGCAAAGGGTCAAGTTAGTTAAAAGCAAGACAAACTTGTGATGGAGGGAATAAAACTGGTTGTGTTAGACAGCATAAGTAGCAAGGCCCGGTTATTTAAAAACACAAAATTTTTTTAAATCACTCTCTTTACTGGGCTTAACATCAGCTTTGATGTAGCCTAAGTAACTAGACTGAACACGAAAACAGTTTCTCTTCCTGCAAAGGTAAGCCTAGATGACAAAGTTAAATAAACAGCACAATCTTTTAAATTGTAGTGTTTATATAGACAAACGTTGGCTAATTGAGTCTTTAAAAAAGGAAATAGAAGGGGATGTGTCCTAATGATTTCAAGAAAGTGAAGTCTTCTCTTAAACCCATACAAGAAAACTGAAAATGGTAAATGGATCCAAGTGACTGGTCTGGCTAAGGATGAACAATTTAGTTAACTAAACAATTTTCAATAGCCCAGATATTCTTCACATACATTTAAAAAGTAATTTTTGGGGTAGTGAACATAGGTTACTGTCAGAAAGACAAAACAAAATCCTAGAGGACTTTAAGACTATGTAAGATAGGAAAGACCTTAAACAAGAATGATAAATGAAGCCAAGTTCAAGTAGGATGGAGAAGTGGATTAAATGGATTATTACAGGCACTTCCTTTTTAAACTATTATAAAACTAAATAATAAAATGCTAAATTTTAAATATATAAAAGATAAGAAACAGGACTATTAAACCATTCTCCAACTTTCAGAACTTTTATATCAGCAGAAGATAGCAAAGGATTTCTGTCTTACACCTAAGCAACTCTCATTTAATTATACTGCAGCTCACTTTCATAAAGGGCATGGTACAAGAAAGTCCTTTTGACGACTTTGTCCTCAAGAATCTAGAACTCGCAATTTGTCAAAGACAAGTCAGATTTTTTCTCCCAATTTTGGAGAAACAGCATCTATTATTTAACATTCTTCCTAATAAAGTTTATAAATTGTTTGCTCTTTTATCTCAATTTTAAAAAGTGAGATTTAGAAAAAGAATGTTAACATTTTGATGATGCATGTTATGTTCCTTAAAAAGAAAGTCTTCATTCTTCTCAGAGATAATGTTATAAAACGCTTTGATATATTCCCATAATTAAGGATCTGTTTCATGCAGAGCCATTTAGTTATATCAAAAAATGCTCTTTGTCAAAATCATGCTTCCAAGTTGGCTTGCCATGGGCAGCAGAGTACAGTGAAGGTCTCTCCAACAGATGCTGAGCAGAAAGACAAGGAATGATGCCAGTAAAAGTAGGGCCAAGGTGATTTCTTCCGAGTCAAAGAAAAGTAAACATAACAAGGATCATGAGGAAAGTGACAACTGTAAAAATAAGTAGTTCAGCCCTCTCAAATTCTCTAGTGAATAACAATGTTTGTGGTAACATGGAATTCTAAATTACACATTATTTTAAGCAAAAAATAAACAGTTTCCCATAATTAACCTATGAACAGCTCAGTGTTATGTTTTTGTCCAGTCTATCATATCTTTCACTCTGAAATTGTATTTTGGATGTCTCCTGAGAGGCTTCTGTTACCCTAATCTAAATCTTTGATTCCAATGAAGATGAAACAGTTATTTCAAATAACTTCCCAGGAATCCATTCCAAACAAGCAGATTTACTTGCACTCCTGTATGGGATGAAAAATATCCTTATAGCTTTATCAGTAAAAGTGATTTTTAAGGGGAGGAGGATTAACAATTTGTTATAATGCAGAAGACCTCTGCAAGCTTTCAGACGCAGGTTTCCCTACAACCAGTTGTAAAATCAGAGTCTCCCAGATGAGCTCAATATACAAGACCATTTACTTAAGAAAAATGTTCTCATCTTAAAGACAAACCCAGCTTCAACATCCTTCTACAATAAGGAATGAAAATAAAAGCCAAGTGGAACTACAGATAAAAAGGAAAGCACTGTTAAATAAAATATTTATGTGATACTTTATGCTGCATAACATCTTGATCTAAAATTAAGTATGGAACCATCTGTTCTAAGAAAAGTCTATTTCATCAGGGCAGTCACAAGAGAATGAAAGATAGCAAATACCCTCTCAACTTCATCAACAAAATCTTTCTTTAACTACTTAATCCAGCTACTATTCAGAAAAATTTGGCTCTAACTTTGTTTTTGGACTCAACAGATATCTGCTAATGTTTCCTTTGTATTAAACTACTATTTAATAAAACATTAGATCTCCTACTTAATAAAATATTGAGCTAACACAAAAACAAACAGGAGAACTTTTCAGTTCTAAAAAGACTGGAGTCCCAACACAATGACAGGCACATTTATAATTATTTTTTTTTTGTCCTTGCTCTTTCAATGAAGATTAAATACATTCTTCTGTATTCACATATAACTACTCTATTAAAAGAAAAGTTTAAAAACTTGGGAAAAGAAAAAAAATCTTAATCTTAAGAAACCAAAAACAGTCACTTGCAAAGGATCAAAAATCAGAAGGATTAGTTTTCAATGGCAACATGGGAAACTAGAAGACAATAGAGCAATGCTTTCAACACTCAGAGGGAAAATGATTTCCAATCTAGAATTCTATATGCAGACTACTAATCAAGTGTGAGGTCAGAATGAAAAACCTCAAAAAATTTACCTCCTATCACAGAGTCTTGCAATAGCTAAATGAGATGTGCTCTATAAAACTGAGGTATACCCAAAAAGAGAACAAGGGATCCAGAAGAAAGGGGTTCTACCACAGGTGAGATAAATTATACCTCAACACAAAGAAAACAAAAATCCTCACAATTGGACCAATAAGTAACATGATCAATGGAGAAAAGACTGAAGTTGTCAAGGATTTTATTTTACTTGGGTCCATAATTAATGGAAGCAGCAGGGAAGCAATTAAATGACATATTACAATGGGCAAATCTGCTGCAAAAGCCCTCTTTAAAGTGTTAAAGTACAAAGATGTCATTTTGAAGACGAAGGTGCACCTGACCTCATTCATGCTATTTTCAATCATTTCATATGGATGTGAAAGCTGGACAATGAAGGAAGACCACAGAAGAATTAATGTTTTAAATTATGTTATTGGTGAAGAATACTGACTATACCATGGTCTGTTCATCTAACAAACAAATCTGTCTTGGATGAAGTACAGCCAGAATGCTCCTTAGAAGCAAGGATGGCCACACTGTGCCTCTTGTACTTTGTCATGTTGTTAGGAGGGACTGGTCCCTAGACAAGGATATCATGATTGGTAAAGTAGAGGGTCAGTGATAAAGAAGAAGACCCTCAATGAGATGGAATCACACAGTGGCTGCAACAATAGGCTCAAGTATAGCAATGATTTTAAGGATGGCACAGGACCAGGCAGTGTTTTGTTCTGTTATATGTATGTTGCTATGAGTCAGAACCGATTTGATGGCACTTAACAACAACAACATGCGAGTGGTGAAGGCAACATCAAGCATAGGGGATAAGTACAGATTGAATGATGGAAACACTAAGCTGCTTCCAAGGGGGATAAAAAGCTGATGTCTAGATTACCTGAGGGAGCTCTGGTAGCATAGTGGCTAAGACACGTGCCTGCTAACCAGACAGCTGGTGGTTCAAACCCACCAGCCACTCC